TCTCAGGCTTTCTCCAACTGCCCAGAAAATAAAAGATTTTCCTTTATGAGGAGAGCTGCTCAGCTTATCTCCAAAATCCTAGTAGGTTCAGTAAGGTGAACTAAATGATAAGTCATCTATTCCCTCTGATGAGAGGGGCACATAAGTAATTATTATCTAAGTTGGTGTGTAGTTTTTAAATCTCTCACATTTAATAAAAAGCAATACATGAAAACAAAGTTACATTCTGTCTACCTATAGAATCACATATTGATTTGTATTCCCTTTGCTAAAACTACAGTCAAGAAACTTGAGCCTGGGGGAGGGGAGTGCAGGAGGCAGCAGATCAATGATTCTCTTTCATCATTGATGTTTCTATCCCTCTCCCTTCCTCTCTCAAATCAATAAAAATATTTTAAAAATAAAAAAAGAAACCTGAGCCATAGGAAAGCTAAGTGACATTCTTACGTGAATCCTGATTCTGCCTAATACCAGTAGCCAGCCTTATGCTACCAGCACATACCCCATGCTTCTGCAGCGAGTGCTATTTTAAGATTACTGTGGAACTGTGTAGTACTTAACTTAGGTAGATAGCTTTGGATATCTACTTTAAAGAATGGAATTTATGCCCTAACCAATTTGGCTCTGGATAGAGCGTCGGCCTGCAGACTCGAGGGCCTCAAGTTCACTTCTGGCCAAGGGCACATGTCCTGATTGCAGACTTGGTCCCCAGTAGAGGGCATGCAGGAGGCAGCCAATCAATGATACTTCTCACTGATGTTTCTTTCGCTCCCTCTCCCTTCCTCTCTGAAATCAATAAAAATACATTAAAAAAAAGAATGGAATTTATGTTGAAAGTAAGGTTAAAATACTGACATTTGTTTTAAAGCACAGGAAAACCATAAATCTGGGCAGGTATAAGTGCAAAGGACAGTCAGTCCCAGCTGGACTGTCAGAACCTAACCCTGACCCTAACCTAACTGTCACATATTGGAAACCAGCACCCTGGAAACATATAACATATGTACAGATCAGAGTGTCTGATCCAATTGGTTTTAGCTGGAATATAGAAATAACCTCATGGGAAGTTGCATAAACTTGAGCATTACGAAGGGGGAGTGCAGGTGATTGTGTTACCAAGCTGTCTCACCTTGGAGCTGTAACAGGTTTTCCTTCTAAAATATGGATTGTTCTGAACTCTCTGGGCTTTTTGACATCACATTTCTGTTCCCTGCTCTCTTTACAAATGTCTTGGTGACCAGGGCCGTGCACTCACTGGGGGCCCGCACTCTGGTCCGAGCACTGTCCTGACTCCTCATCTCTGTGTCTGCACCATCTGTGACTCGACCCCAACAGACCTGTCTGTGTGCAAACGGAAAATACTTCATGACCAATCTCAGGGCTAGAAATCAGGGCTTCGAATTTGTTTTACTTCTAGAGAGAATATTTTTCTGAATTCTAATCACTGCTTGCCATTCACAGCAAAGAGTAAATAATTTATTTCTTATCTCTGTAACAAAAATAGTTGGGGTTTTGAAGCTTGGTTCTTGATCTCAAATCTGCCTTTTTGAGAATTGATTTAATAGCTTCCTTTTTTAAGGTGGATTCCCAGTAATTCACTGTCTGTTTACTGATGTGTATCAAGAAGTCTTCCGGATGGTCCCTGTTTTTTACAAACCGTGTATTTGGAGTTCTCACCAAAGTGTGCGCCGTGGGACCTGGGGAAGGGTTCTCGGCCTGTCGCCCTGGCAGTGGCAGCAACTTCGTGGGGGGTTTATTGTCATACATGATTCCGCTTTTTAAATCATGAGATGGTGAGGATTTCTAACATAAATGTGTCTTTCCTCATTTGACTACTTATTTCTCCCTGACTTTCATGGGCCTCATGGGAAGTGACGACAACATCTGAATTCTTAGTGTAACTGGTGTGCGACCCTTCACCCTTTGTGCCTTGATGGGGGTGTCTGTCCCTAGTAAGGACCCTGTCCTGCCACGGGACATTGGTTTGGCTGTGAACGTTTCATAGCACCTGGTTGACACTTTCTCTGCCTTGGGCCCAGCGAGGACCTTGCCAGGTTCTGTGGAGCACACTCCGTTTCGCTCAGCGTAGGCCCTGCGCCGCCGGGTGTTGCAGTTATTGTCACTTCTGTCTGGCCCAGCGGCTGCGAGCCCCGAGATGACGAGGCCCTGTGCTGTGTCCCTAATCATGGAATTTCCCCAGTACAAAGATGAGAACAGGGCACAGCCCCCGGCTTCAAGGAGCTAATGGCCATGAGGGGGCCAGGTAGGGCCGGAGTTCAGTTCAGGCGGTCAGATGGTAACATGCCAAGTGATGATGGCGGGAGGCTGGATCCTGCCTTCAGCGGGAGGCACATGAAGAAAAGAAGCAGGTGTGGGAGGCCGTAGTCCTGGGCTTAACCATTCTGAATCCAGGGAAAACACTCAAGTCAGAGAGAGGACAGCAGGGAAGCCGATCTGTTCAACACAGGTGGCCTCTGGGCAATGGAGGAGGCGCTGACTGCTCCATTCCAGGGCCAAAGCTGGAGACGGAACAGAAGTGTGGGCTTTGTTCCCAAAAATGTGTGCAGGTGTTAGTGTCACGAAGAGCAAGGTGGCCCAGTCAGACTTGCAGTTCAGAAACTCGTCTGGTGGCAGTGGAGGGGCCTGGAGGGTTGGGCACTTAGGAGGGGCTCCACTGGGCACCGAGGGGACCCGGGAACCCACTGGTGTTGAAGAAACAGCGACGATGTGGTTCGAGTGAGTGAGTGAGCGGCCATTAAAAAGACAGGGTCTAGGCTAGGGGAACAAGGAAGGCACGGTGAACAAGGTGGGGTTGAGATCCCACAGGACGCGCGAGGCAGGCCAGCACTGGCATCCAGAGACAGCAGGAGGGGAAGCTTCAGGGATGGTGGTGGTCAGGTCCAGGAGGATAGAAACAAAAAGCAGCTTAGCAACCAAGAGATGGCACCACTGACAGCCTGGTGACTAAGGTCCCATCACAGAGCTGAGGGCTCAAAGCAGGTGGTGAACTGGGGGGTGGGGGGGAAGAGAGAAATAAGGGGGGGCGCCGAACCTCATTCCTGGAAGTTCACTGAGGTGGGAGGGAGGAGGTTAAAGGCCAGAGGGCAAGGGACCTCCCCTCCCTCCCCGGGCAAAGCGTTGGAGGGTGTGTGATGGAAGGGCAACCGCTGCCCCTCACTGCCCACTCAGAGCCTCAGTCCTCGTCAGATGGGCCGTGGCACCCACTTTATGGGTCTGTCGCAAGACATGGAAGCCCCTGAAATAGCACCACTCAGCAGACTCCTGGCTTTCTTCCCCTTGTCCTCACCCTCACAGAGAAAGTGGACACTAGATGCTCATGGTAATCTGGCTGTTTCAAGTCTCTTGGCTCAGTAACAACCCCCTGATCTTAGCCCCGTGTTACACTCAGATAAACAGTCTGAAAGACCCGTCTGCAATTCATACCAAGCCCAGGGCCAGTGGGGAGGTGACAGGGGAGCTGCTGGACAGGAGGTCCTGAACTTGGGGGTGCACTGGTGCTTCCCTGCAGTGCCAGCTCAGGCAGCAGCTGTGCATTCTGGGTGTGGACAGAGGATGTGGTCCATGGCGAGGCTGAAGCAAGTTAGGAAAATGGAGTAAAAGATCCAGAAAGGAAGATGGGAGAGGAAAGGGTGCACATCACCGATCAGCAGGTGGTGTGCAAAGGTTGGGAGGTTAGAGGTGGCGGTTTCAGTGTGAAACAGGTCCTGGTGACCAATCCAGGTTGTGACCTCACTGCTTATGTGGGATCAGGACAGCAAAGGGGCCGGGATGGTGGAGTGACCACTGACACCAGCTCTGCCCTTCACCTGCGTGTCACCAGAACTGTAGGCATTCCAGGTGGCCAGCGGCAGGTGGAGGCCGCAGAGGGCCCTGGGGAGCGTTGGTGGGAAGTTGTGCCCAGCCAGGAGGAGACCCTGGCGTCGGACCCCAGGCGCTAACAGAGAGTGATTCCACACTTTGCATTGCAGTATACAGTACATAGTCAAGCGAGCACCATGAGCATCCCGGTTGCAATGGAGACAGATGGGCCCTTAATTGAAGATGTGCAGATGCTGAGAAAGACAGTGAACGAAGAGGCTCGCCAGGTAAAAGTGCGCAGAGCTCAGCGGAGAGGCGCTCGCTGTAGATTTGCTTTGAAATGCACATGATTGTGTAGGTGAGGTGCTGTCCAGCAGTCTGCGAGCCAGAGTTAAAAATTAAACTTTGGTAAACTTACAGGAAACAGTTATCTGTACGTCTCAGTGATCAGTTTACTAGAAACAGTTTTTAAGAGTGAAATATGTGCCTGCAATTTGTCTATTCATTTATCTTAACAGTAATCACCACCCTTAAATGTCTTTCAATGTTAACGAGCAAAAAGTCAAAAGCTTCGCAGTAACGTCTTGCCGCTTTTCCCTCTGCCTCCCTCCAGCTTCTCTTGGTCCCCGTTAGTCGTTGTTACGGCCAACCTCGGCAGCCCCGACACCAGGGTGGAGCCTTGTCTCCCTCCCCTCGAAGAACCTCAGGGTCTGTGAGGCCTGCGCAGGGCCGGGCTCTGTTGGGGTTCCCAGGGCTGCGGACTCTGTCAGAACCACCGCACGTACTGCCTCGCTCGAGTGGTTTTGTTTCCACTGTGGTGGGAATACCTATTTAGACCCCACTGGCCCAAATATACTCTTGTTACTGAAGAGGGAACATACACAGCGTGGGCCACTGAGGTAACGCACCCGCTCCCGCCTGCGTGCGAGAGCCTTGCGGTGCGTGCCTCTCTGTCCATGGGAGCTGATGTCGTCCTGGCCGGGCTGGGGATCTGGGCTGGCTCTGACTTTAAACTTTAATCCCCTCCGACCAGCAAAGAGTTTCCAAAGACACCAGCGCTGGGATTCTGACACGTGAGAATTGAGCGGCTAGAGTGACACCGTGCCCTGTGAGCAAATGGCTCCTAAGTGCGAGTGCCATTCCGAACGCAGTTAAACAGAGAGGGGGTTTAATCTGTTTGATTTTAATTCAAGTAAATTGTATTCCCCACCTGGTCAGATAGGATCAGACGTTTCCCAGAGCATACGGTCCAGACCATCTGACTGTGCTGTCCTAGCCACAGCCACGTGGCTGCACACTGAAATGTGGCCATCAGCACTGCGTGTGCCGTCACTCAAACTCAGGAATTCCCCGGCTTACTGTGAGGGAAAGAATGTAAAAACATTCCATTCGTCATTTTTTTTATTATTGATTATTTGTTGAAATTATAATATTTTTAATATACTGGGTTAAATAAAACATTAAAATTACTTTCACTATTACTATTGCTTTTTACTTTTTTGATGTGGCTACTAGAAAATTTAGAATTATATACGTAGGTGGCATTACCTTTCCATTGGGCAGCCCTGGTCTGGACTCCTTTTCTTGGTGTTGCAGAAGGAGGTGCCTGTGCTGACCACGGTCACGCCGCTTCTGCCAGCCAGCTCCTGGCTGTAGATTAAAATAAAAAGCAGGTGAATTCCTGCTTCTTTCAGCTCATCAAATCTTGGAAATACTAAAAGTACAGTGGTAAAATTCACTAAACCCCTAGTAACATTTTTTTACTTAATCTAATCGCATACCATAATTTCCTCACAATTAATATTTTTACCAATGAAATAGATTTAATAAAAAGCATAAAATTCTTATATTTTTCTCTATTTGTGGGAGTATTAATTTTCCTACTTGATTTTTTAACTTGGAATTTGAGATCCTCTTTTTTATTACTATTTTGGTTCTACGGCTTAACGTGTGCTAAGAACAGGACAGCCAGCCTGTCACCTGCACACATCCAGAGGAAATCAAGCCAGTGCCCTCCCCCAGGGAGCCTGCCTGTGAACTTGTAACCACATGTTCATTTGTAAGTCCATATAAAGTTGAGAAGGAAACTGGTTTACAAGCCAGTTCTTTCACATTAAATATTTAGGGTTGGAGAATTGTTCTTTTCAGTACATTCTCTGACTTGATAATTAAAGCTAGGCAAAGAGCAAAGAGAGCCCAAAATGTAATTAACATAATACATAATTGTGTAAGTTACGGGCTTCTTTATGATTTAGAGCCTCCTCTGTAACATGTTTGTTTTCATGACCCTTGAAATTAGATTACATGACTCGGTGTTTTGTGTGATTGACATTCTTACAAAAATTATTCCCCCACCCTTACCTTTAGGTTTCTATGGATCAGGTTGAAAGACTTAATACCATTAATCTGCCAGTTCTCCCCAAATTAACACAATCTCAGGCAGAATCCCAGCAGACTTTTTTTTTTTAGAAATTGATGAGCTGATTCTAAAATTTATATGGTAATACAGAGGACCTAGAATAGCCAAATTAATGCCAATAAAAGAATAAGGTTGGAAGATTACCACTCCCCAATTTCAAGACTTACAGATTTGTATGGATCAACTGAAACCCCCTCCCAATCTCTATCTAGATGAAGATATTTTTAGTGCAGTCTCTTAGGTATAATATTTGATATGATAGACTATTCTTAATTTGAAAATGTTTACAGTCATATTCCTGAAATTCTCAAAAACACTGTTGATAAAGCAAAGAGGAGATACCGAGATTCAAGGGAAAAATGTATGTGGGTGATTTGGATACCAAATTGACATAAGAAGCTTTAGCTAAAAATGACTCAAGTGCTGGTTCGGTGTGACACGTGAGGCAAATGACAGCACATTGAAGGAGGGGTGGGGGGGGAGGTTCTAAGGCAGTGGAAGGTAGCTGGTTGGAATATTGTGGAGAAGTCAACTGTATGCTTACCTGTCAGACTATATTCGCATTTCTTTTGAGAAACTTGTATAATTCTATATAGAGCATCCTAAGAAAACTAGTAAATTTCATGTGAATGACATTTCTACCAGAGACATTTAAAATGTTTACAATTCTCATTTTAACAGTCGGTCGGGAGAAAAGCAGTGCCAGCCATGCAATTCAGGAAGGTGTAGAAAGACGGAAGGTGGGAAGTGCAGGTACTCTTTACTCCATCTATAGAGTATTAAGGCCTTTCTGTTGAGGAAAAGAAGTGACAAGCTAATGTGTACATGAAGTATTTTCCCTGTCATTCCAAGAAATGTGCTCCTTAAGACATTTTTATTAGTTCTGCCCTAATTTGAGTAAAACCATGCAGTTATGTGCGCCCAGCCCCTGGTGCTCTGTGACCACTCACTATGTAAATGCAGTCCCTCAGCTCTGCCATATGCTGAGGAACAGGCGGTTTCCTCCAGCTGCACCCGTAGCGGATGTCACAGTCATGCCTCTCCCACTGTCTGTCTGTTCTGTGTGTCTTGTATGTTCCATCCACAATCAACATGTCCGCCAGCATGTCCCCTTCACCAAGCGTTACTCACCTAGGTGACCCTCTGCATGGTGCCTCCTGCTCTCCTGCTCCTGTTCCTCTGACCTTTTCCCCGGGGGGTTGTGAAGTTATTCTCTGCTTTACACATCAATTTACCAAGCCTGCGCGGAGCGGCCCGCTGCGCCAGCACACCTCTGCCCTTTCCTTTCAGAAGCCCAGGGTCTGTGTTCCCAGTTTGCATCTGATGTTCCAGGCCACGGTTTTTGCTGTTGCCTTTTTCTCTCTGGAATGCCCGTCTCAGCAATCAGGAATACTTCAAGTATAGAGAGTCTTGGTTTTGTTTGGCTTTGCTTTGCGTTCTTTTACAGCTCACCCTGGAATGGACATAAAACTCAGGGTAGTTTCCCACAGTTCGAAGGCAAACCCACTTCACAAACAAAAGCACTCTTACAAGTACTGTGACCGTGACAGGCTGGTGCCCTCTGTCTCTGACGTGTGTGGCTTTCCTGAGCCATCTTACACCAGTTTCCAGGGGAAACCAAAACTCCTTCCTTTACCATGAATGAATATTAATATTCAGATAACATTTTAGAAATAATCTAAAATGATACACAAAATTCTTTCTAAACTCTAACAGTATTGCTGTTTCCGTAGGTTAATTTGCAAAGAGCTCTGAGACATATTAGCTCTGCAAAAAATGTGAACATTTCATGTATGACTTCTGCAGGTCCTTGAATTTTTCATTTAAGTTAAGTATACTTTACAGGCTATACTGTAAGGTATCTAGAAACTATGAGAAGTTTTACCGTTATATTCTTTTTGTTGTCAAATTACTGACATAAAACATATTTCCTCTGGTAGACGCCTGTTCACCACCAAGTGACTTATCCTCTGTAAATACCGTCTTCTCTTTGATGGAGACACTTGATAGGAAGAAGGCTTGGTTCAGGTTCAAGTTTCTGACCAACAGTCCTCTGTATATACATACATGGTGTTTGGATGAGTGAGATGGTTTGTTGTCATATTTCCAAAATACTGCTGTCAACGCAGTGGCCCTTGGCTTTTGACCAAAACTGGTGGATTTGCAAAATAGAGGTATTGAGTAATCTGTGCAAACTTATGCATTTTCAAAGACAGAACAGAATTGTGTGCATACCGTCCTTCACACTGGTCATGAGATTGTTTTTAATAGACGTGGCATTTTGGGGTAGTTGCCACAAGAGGAAATACTTGCCTCTTTGCCTGTCCCTTAGAGGGCAGAGGGGCCCTGGGTATGTGCTGCCACCGCCGCACAGCTGTCCTTGGCTGATGAAGCGGATGTGTGCCCGCTGTGGGGACAGTGTGGTTTATAGTCCACGCCCTGCGTTTGTCATTCCAGGCACAGAAGGACCTGAAGAAGGACCGGGCTCTGGTGCGCCGCAAGTCCGAGCTGCCTCAGGACCTCCTCACCAAGAGCGCCTTGGAGGCTCACTGCAGAGCCGACGAGCTGCTGTCCCAGGACGGCCGCTAGCTGCCCGCCTGCCGGCTCGGTCCCGGATTCTGTAGAAAACACATACTTTTGTGCCATACAAATCAGTTACACTCAGAGTCAGAGCTTTCTTCGCCCCCATCCTGTAGGCAGTAATGCACTCCGTCCCCAGCTCGAGATTAGGAGTTCAAACAATGGTGACTCAGACCCAGGCAGAGCCGGCCACGGTGTCCCCGCCACGGTCCCAAATATGACAGCGAACCAAATCAGCACCCTGGTCATCACCTTCACCTTCTACCCAAATGGAATTGGTGATTGTTTAAAATAAATAGTTCTAAGAGTATCAATGTTTTTCGAATCAAAGAAACACTTAAATATTTCATATTTTTAAGACTTAACAACCTTTGAAGTTGTTTCCATGTGATTGTTTACACCAGCAATGTCTTTCTGTTTTTGATGTGTTTTCTTTCAATTTCATTAAAATGATTTTTTGCTGTCATTGTTCTAACACAGGAAAAGTGACAATCCTCAGCCGCTGTTTCTTCCTGAGGTGTCCTTCACTTTGAGCAGCGACATGTACATCATGTCTGACTTCTTTCGTGTATTTCTAAAGCCATATTTGCCCGTTGGTGGTCCGGCGCCAGGACTCCAGGAGTAAGCTCATAGGAGAAATTTATTTTACAAAGAGCTCTTTCTGCCTCCCGTGGCTAGAATTGGAATTTTTAAAACAATGTGTTCATTTTGGGGTTTGCAGATTTTCTTTTTCTGTACTTACACGTTGTTGCCCTTTAGCAAGGCTCTTGAATTAATAAAATTAGAGTCTCTAAGAATTCCACACTTGATAGAAGGCTAGAATGAGAACATTTTGCGTTAAGCCAGTTCTTGGCCGGCAGCTGCCTTTGGGCAAACATAGCCACACCGTGCACGCCAGGCGCTAGCGTGACACTCGTTATTGTGTGACGTGGTGCTGAGAGCCGAGGGGGGAACAGGCGGAGGGCTTCAGGTGAACCCCTGTGTGGAAACGAGCACACATTATATGCACTTCTAAGGAAAGGACCGTGTCTGAGTTTTCATCAAATGCTGCTATATATTTCCCAGACTTCCTTGCATGTGTTGAGCTTCTCGTTTTCGATGGAATAGCACGAGGAAAATTCTTTAAACTTAGTGCATTGTATGTTTTATTTCTCTCAGGGTGGCCAGTATCTTGACTTATTTATCTGCTTGAAAGCTATTTGAGATGTGTACTGCTCTCCTAAACAAGTGATTCTAGGGTGTTTTCGTCTCCAGCATAAGATTATATAACTTAATGTTAAATGTCTTTATGCATAAAAGATGCAACATAGCTTCTTTTAAGATTTGTCTTCTATTCGAGGTCTCGTATCCACTCATTGTAAAAGCAGACTGTCGTTCCCTGCCACTTAAATCCACAGACTATGTATGTCCCATGTGTTGGAGGAGACTCGTTTGGGGGGAGGGGACTTCCTGCGTGGAGCACGCGTGCTGGATTCAGAGTGCCCAGCCGCCAGTGGAAAGCCCGCTGCGTGAGCAGACACACTTCCTGAGAAACTTGACAAGTATCGATCCATTTTACCATTATGAAATTTGCGATTAAAAAAAAAGTTTAGATGCCTTCTCCTTTTGAGGGAAAAAGGGTGCTTTTTATTGTATAAAGCAGCATCTTATGTATTTTGATATACCATTGTTTGAACTTCCGTCTTTGGCTGACAGATGCTCAGATAGCCTTGATTTTGGATGTTCAGTATGTTTGTGAGAGAGCTTTCTGGAAGACTCCTTTGCCCTAAAAAATAGCAACATTTCAATGTTTGGGTGGTTGTGTAAAGCTCAAAGTATAAGAACATCTTTTGTCTAGGTTTTATTTCTGCTCTTTATTGAAGACAAACATTCACCAAAAAAAGGGAAAAAAGCGTTTTGAGAGAAACTAATTTTCTTTGACAAGAGTATTATTTAATATTTTGGCCTATTAAAGTTTTCCTAGTTAGTATTCAGATGCCCTGTGCTAATTGTTCAACTTATATATTATTATATAGATACATTGTTTATTCTGTACCAACTGATTTCAAAAGTACTACATTGAAAATAAACTGGTGACTGTTTTTCTTCATAAAGTTCTGCGTTTGGCATCTTCACTCTTTCCCAAATGTCCCTGTACATCAGAAATGTCACTGTTCCGAGTGTCTTTTTAGTGTGGCTGTAGTATGGCTTCCTTTTAATATTGTACATACATTGTATCTTTGTTTTATGGTAATAATAAAAATGTAGACTTCATATTTTGTACAAAATGTCCTATGTACAGAATAAAAAAGTTCATAGAAACAGCAAAAATAGGTAAGTGGCACAATTATTTTTCTTTAGAAAATATCTGTAACTTTATGCTTTAGTGAAATGTTAAGTACCTACATATTTTTAAACATTTTGTAACTCAAAACTTTTTGTTTTGACATTGTTTATGAAGAGAAACTTCATACACTTGCCATTTAATATGCTCTTTTATCTAATTTTTAAAAACTCTAAAAATGGTGTATTATATGGACTAAATAAAGAACATGTGGATTTTAATGCTCATCATGAAACTAAATGTAGCCATGGTGTTGGGCCCGCTGCTTCTGACCATTAATCAAGTCACTGCCAGGGTCGGGCGGCCTAGCCCAGGACACTGGCTGGAAGGTGGGCAGGCGGCGCTGGCGCGGCTCCAGGCTGGTGCCTGCTGTGCGGCCCATGATGGCAGGTCCTGCCCCAGCGTTCTGTAAACTCATTTTAACTTCTCTACGGGCAGAAGTAGAGGTGTTTTCATACTGACCACCTCTCTTTGAGCCAAATGTGAATTGGGACACAGTTTGTGGAAATGGATTATTCGAGCCCTGATCATGTTTAGAATGATTCTTGAAACGTCTTGGAGATAAGAGTAGACTCACCGAGAATAGGAATGCGGGGTCTTAGGTGACCCACCTCCTGTGTGGCGGAGCTCATTGTCCTCACCGAGGCTGCTACTGAGAGGCCGTGAGAGGAGACCTGGGATGGAGGTTTCATCACCTCCACAGTCGCGCCTGATCGACATTCCAGCAGGTGAGTTGTGCCTGTGACTCCTCCTCACAGTGGAAGAGGTCACGCTGGGAGCTGGGGTGCAGGAAAGGGACCGGGACCTCCCCGAGTGTCTGTGGCCTGAGCGCCTGGTGACCCGGTGGGGGAGCTTGGGAGCCGCACAGTCCCCGCTTCCACCCGGGAGCAGTCTGCTGCAGCTCCCGAACGCTGTCTCCTCAGGTGCAGCCTCCTCGTCTCCCATCTTGGAATTGGAAAAAGCCGTAGTGTTTAGCAACTTCCTTCAGCTCAAGAAGAATTCTCCAGAAAACATAGAATAGAGGCATGCTGCGGGTTAAGTCCAGCTTCTTGCTGCACTTGCTTTACGGTAGCAAGAGGCCTAAAAGCGAGGTTGAACCGGCTTTGTGTCTCCTTCCATGAAGATTGGTCTGACACTCAACAGTAATGACAATAGCTGCTTCCTTACCGCCGCCTTTGTGCCGCGGGCTGTTGTAGGCGCCTCATTTTCCCGTGTTGGTTCGTTCTCACAGCGTGTTGACAAGTGAGGAAACTGAGGCACACAAGGGTTAAGTCCCTTTCTCAAGATCACACAAGTACTGAATGCAGCCAGGTTTCAACCCAAGTGGCGTAGCCCTGGATTCCTCCCCTCACCACTGCAGACACTGTGGAAACATCTAGAGCATTTTAGGGGAAGGCCACACATGTGAGGCCCCAGGATCGCCAGAGAAACCTGCAGTGTCAGGGTGGCCATGAACACGGGAGGGCTTCTGACCTAGAACTAGAATCTCAGACACC